AAGCTATATCGATGTTATGTCTGGTTAGGAAGGCAATTAGAACCGCACGCTGCTTGTTGACACCATTGGCATTCCAGTTTAGGAGTGTTAGGTTGGATATTGTCTGATGGCTAGGCATTGAAAAATCTTGGGATTAGATGGGTTGTGAAGAATTGTTTGATTTGATCAAGATAAGGAGACAATAGGTTTAGAAGTGATTTAAGTATGATGCTTACGATTGATTGAGAATTGTTTTCACTTATAGGGGTGTTAGGATTTGCTGCTTGCGAGTAGGTATAAGAAGGATGATTGTAAGTAGGGGTTGGGGAGGAAGTTCTGATAGGGTTTGTGTTTTCTGAATTGGAGGAACGTATAGGTTTAGGTTTGTTTTTAGTGTCTAAATTTTTGTAGTATGTACAACCTTTATAATTGGCTGGATGTTGTTCCTGGCAGTTGACACATTGCGGAGGTGCCTTTTTGGATTTGGTGCAATCTTTCGTCAAATGATTTTGATTGCATTTTACGCATCTAGGAGTTAATGTACAATAATTTTTTGTGTGTCCGTATCTTTGACATCTGTGGCATTGCGGTAAGCCTGGTTGCTTTTTTCTGTATTCTATGATTACTATTGCATGTTGTATTTCCTTGACATTAAAAATTTGGCGGCCATTGTCATTTGCAGCAAGATCAACTGCACAGATGGGTATGGGTTGTTTGTTGTTACTTTGTAATCTTATGACTTTTTTAAAAGGTAGTTTTAGTCGATTTAATTCGTCTTCGACTTCCTCAGTAGTGATAGATACCGGTAAATTTTTAATAACTACAGAAATTATTTTTTCATTGGGATCTTTGTATGTGTAGTATTCTACTTCATTTTCATTATAGAATTTAGTTAGTTTTCTATAGTCATCAATACTCGTTAGATTGATTTTTAGTGAGTTGTAGGTTGTATTTGTATAAACCTTCTCAATATTCAAACTTTTTAGGTCTTGTACTATTTCGCTATAATTTTTTGTGCCTTGGTGTAGTTTGCGATGACGTTTCTTCAGAATTATCTTCGAGATCCTGGAGTGGGAGATATCTATTGAAAGTAGATGGTTGATTTGGGTTCCAGTTATATTTCTTTTGGGACCCTTCTACCGGGGGAGATAATACATCTGATTTTCTTTTAGGATCTGGTGTCATTATATTTAGTTTAATTTTAATCGTCTCCCTTTCGGGAGACTAAATTTGTAATTGGGTTTTTCTTTTGATGAATATTTTTGTTATCGTTCAAGTAAAAATGTTTTTAAAGATACACGTGGTTTAAGAACGAAAAAAAAGTGGGCGCGTTGGCTACAGCTGCTCGATAAACACGTCCGCACTCACTCACGTCTTAGCCCGAACCCCAAAGCCCTAAAAGGATATTTTAATTATCATACTATAAAATAAATATGTCAAGGTTTTTAGGGAAATGTAGTTTGCCGGCGAGTCTCTTTTTCCTTCCCTGACGTTCTGAGGTTGACAATTAAATGAAGATCAATTAAACCATTTTCTTCACAATTTTTCTAAGAAATAATCAAAATGCTAGATACGGAAAGTGACCAAATTAACAGTATAGTCAATATCAGACTACCCCCTTTTTGGACTACTAAGCCCGACACTTGGTTTAGACAAATTGAAGCCCAATTTGAGCTATCACGTGTTGCAAGTGACAGGACAAAGTGCAACCTAGTAGTCTCTCACTTACCCACCGAGGTAATGAATACAATCGTTGATATCATCAACGAACCTCTAGAAAGAGACCTATATGCAACTTTGAAAAAAAAGTATCATTAATCGTCTTTCTCACAGTGAAGAGAAGCGGTTGAATGACCTTCTTTCAAACACGCAAATGGGCGAACAAAAGCCATCGGACTTCTACCGAGAATTACTTTCTAATATCGGCAGTTCCCAGGTGGGAAGACCAAGACTTCCAAACACCATCTCGGTAGCTCTGTTGGCCTCTGGGAAAAAGGATGTTACGGATCTATTGAACATGGCGGATCGTATCTGGGAATCGATTACCTCCACACCTTGCGCATATTCAAATCACATATATACTCACACAACACAACGACCTCTCTACCAACTAAACCTTCCACCTCACACAACACACAACCAAATCTGACAGACATGATCAAAGCTTTTAACAACTTTACGACAACATGTCAAAGTATTTTTAGTACGTTTGCGCAGAAACAAGCAGCAACAGATTCACAAATCGCTTCAATTAATGAAAAATTAAATAATAATAAAAGCGATTTCAACGGTGAACATAGCTGTTTCCATTGTATCTACCGCCGTAGCCGATCTCCATCTACATCTTATAGAATGTCCACCCGAAACCCTTCCACCCTCTAATTAACCCTTCCAGAAGATTGCCTAATAAAATAAAGCCTGTAGACTTAGCAATAAAAATTGAATCACAATTAATATTCAACAAAGACATTAACCAAATTTTTAATGATAATAAAAACATTATTAAGAACGTCAAAAAACAAATCATTTTTCAATTTTAAACAAAAAGATATAGAACCTTAAACAAAATATCAAAGATAACAATTTAATAGTAACACTGGGAGACAAAGGAGCGGGTCTAGTGATTTTAGAAAGGGATGATTATATATCAAAGGCTTTGAGTTTCTTTAACGATAATAACATTACAGAGATTAAAAATAACCCAACAGTTGCCTACAACAATAATTTAAAGAAAGGCATAAAAGATAATTTGCCTTTTTTGAGAATATTCAGCATCACCAGTTTTAATTCGATAGAGATGAACCCATTAATACCTCAAATGAACTGTTTAATAAAACTACATAAGGAAAATAAAAGCATCAGACCTATAATAGGAAACACACCTACAAATAAAATAGCTAAAATCATCAATTTTTTTATATAAAACTTTCAATAAAACTTTTCAATATACGGTTAAAAACTCAACACAACTAGTTAAGAAACTTTCTAATATAAAAATCGAAAAAATACATAAATTAATATCACTAGACATCAAAAATGTATACACTAACATACCGGTGAACCCTACTATACAGGGTAATTTAAATTCGACCCTCACCATTGGGATCTCAGAAACCATAAGAGATACAGAAATGGTTGAATGGGGCCTAAGTTGCGTATCTTAGAGCTCAATCATTTTTCAATAAAGTTTTTGGATCTAGTAAAGTTTTTAAAATACGCTCGAAAAACAAAAAAATTACTTTTTCGTTATTTGTCTACAACTGCTTTATCTTTCGTTTTTTCGTGAACCTGAAAAAACATTCTTAAGGCAAGTTTTTATGAAAAATGTCTTGACACAACTAGAAATTTTCTCCGACGTTTCGTTTTTGTGAAACTATCATCAGGTTTATTTTTTCTTATGAACGCCATATTTGATTTTCACACCAAAAAATAGGATAATTAATTCTGATTTCAATGATATGTCACACAATGTATTTCATTTAAAAAAACATTGAATTATTCAAAAAATAAATAAATAAACCTGATAATAGTTTCACGAAAACGAAACGTCAGAGAAAATTTCTAGTTGTCATGACATTTTTCATAAAAAGTTGCCTTAAGAATGTTTTTTCAGATTCACGAAAAAACGAAAAATAAAGAAATTATAGGCAAAAAACAAAAAAGTAATTTTTTTGTTTTTTGAACATATTTTAAAAACGAAAACGGCTAGATCCAAAAACTTTGTTGAAAAATGATGAGCTCTAAGATACACAACTTTGCCCCCATTTAACCATTTCTGTATCTCTTATGGTTTCTGAGATCCCAATGGGGGGGGGTCAAATTTGAATTACCCTGTAGATCTGATCAAGAAATACCTAATAGAGAATTCGATAGATTTGGGTGTTGATTTACTTGAGGTTGATAGCTTTCTGAAGGTGTTAGATATTGTTTGTAAACAAAACTTTTTCTGTTTTAATAATAGGCAATACAAAATGCATAATGGTTTACCTATGGGTGCTTCCATATCGAGGATCCTTTCAGACATTTATGTTGATCACATAGAATAAGAACTATTTAAAGATAAACATAAACTTTTTGTAAGTGACATTGTTTTCTATGCACGTTATGTCGATGACATCCTAATCCTTTATAAAGGTAATTCTGCAAAATTTAAAGCACTACTTAATTTAATTAATAACCTAAGCTCATTAGAATTTACAACAGAAATTGAAATTAACAATTGCATTAACTTTTCTGATCTGACCCTTCAAAGAAATTTGAGTAAGAATTTAATTGAGTTCAACATCTTCAGGAAGCCGACTTTCACTGATAATGTGATTCCTAGGGATTCTTATTGTTGTAGGCAACACAAATACGCCAATTTTGGATTTCTGTTCAACAGAATTTACAACATACCTCTTAATTCAGAAAGTCTATCCAATGAGATTAAAACCATTGTAAAAATAGGTTTAAATAATGGCTACCAGACTCAAGAGATTCAACATATATTTCATTTATCCTCATTGCAAAACTATAATTAACTATATAGCTTTACCATTTTCACCGCTACTTGAATATAAAATGAAAAAGAGTTTAAATAAGTTTAATCTGACCCCGGCCTTTGTCTCCAACAATAAAATTTACAACAGTTTAGTTAATAATAAATCAAAAAAGATGATGGATATGAGGATTAGAGTGGCGCGTATCAAGTTAGTTGTCCAGAATACGATAAAATATACATAGGCCAGACCGGTAGAAATCTGTACACTCGTTTTAGGGAACACATTACCAAAGCTAACTCTTCAGTTTACAAACATATACAAAGTCACAATCACAATATACAATTTTAAAATGATAAGCTAATTGAAAACTAAAAGAAACCACATGAATTAGACCTTTATGAGGAACTTCACATTAATAAAAATAAAGATAAAAACAATAAACTTCTCAATGACTTAACTAACATTGATAACAAAAACAGATTTTTTCATTTCATTCATTTAACATTTATTCAATCTTCTCATCCTTCTTGAACCTTCTCTTCCTCATCCATCGCTTTCTTCCACATGACTTTATCTTCAGAATCTATCGCTTCTTCATACGTTCCTGGAGCACATCCCCCAAGATAGGCAAAGTAAGCGTAATCCTGTAAGGATTTTTCCTTTCCTGGAATAAAATTGTTACCTCGTAGTCATTGTACCGACTTGGTAGTTTTTGTTGTCGTTTTGGACGTGTTGGATTTGTTTCTTCTATGTCTTTATTACAATTTTCTGACTTATCTGGGTAATTTTCTTCAAGATTTTCTTCCGTTTCTTCCTTGTTGTTGCCTTCAGATCCCCGAGTTTCAGCGTCATTCTTGAAATCACTCCCCAGGCTGTCCAGTTGGAAGGTCAATTCATTCTCAAATGTAACGTTACAGGATCGCACCAGACCTCTGCGTCCTTCAACGTACACTCTGTATCCATCTGATTCCTCATAACCAACCAAAAGTCCGCATTCGCTTTTGCTTGCAAACTTTTGTTTTCGATTACGTTCCGGTAGCAAATACCAAACTTTCGTCCCGAACACTCTTAGTTTGTTGATGTCAAAATGACTGACCCTCCCATACCACAGTTCAATTGGTGATTTTTCATTTACTGGTGTAGGTGCCGTTCGATTGAATACAAAAACCGCCGTATTACACGCTTCAGCCCAAAGTTTTATAGGTAATCCCTTTTGTGTAAGCATGGCACGAGCTGCTTCAATTACAGTATGATTTTCTCTTTCCGCCGCGCCGTTTTGTTGAGGCGTTTTTGTCATTGCAACCCGCAACTTAATACCGCGTTTTGATAGAGTCTCTTTCAAGGTTTTATTTAGAAATTCCGTTCCCGCGTCACACAATAATGTTTTAATTCGAACACCTGCAGTATCCGCTTCGTTGAAGAAAGTTTCGATGCACTTTGCTGCCTCATCTTTGGTTTTAAGGCAAAACAATCGCCTGAATTTTGTAAAATCGTCTTTTAAAATTAAGGCATACCTTAATACAACCCAACCCACCGATGGACTCACCCGACATAGATCCAATCAGATCCGCGTTAATCTGTTCACCAGCTTCCTTCGCACGCACCGTTCTCGATCCAAAATGCTTTGTAAAAACTTTGCAACATGTCTTTTATTTTGATGTGCGAGTCTTTCGTGCAACACTTGCAACGATTCATTTACTGACGACGGGATTTTTACGGGACATTTACGACCACGGGATTCACCGGCTTTACTACCGAAATGTCCAAAATCGTCAAACCGTTAGATATTGCCTTTCCGGTTACCAAAATTTGTCCATCACGTTTAACAACACACGAACCATTCGCATGGAAATGGGTTGCGCATCCACTCTTTCTGGCTTGCGCGGTAGAAAATAAATTTCCACGCAATTCTGGCACGTACAAGACATTTTTGAATTCACGACTGAACCATTCATTCTTAACTCTCGCTTGTATGCTCACTTTTCCTATTTCTACAGCTAGTAGATCTTGAGAACCAATTCCAGTTATAGAAATTGGAATCCTCAGTGGTACATACGTCTTAAAGTTTTTCTTGTTTGACGTCATGTGCTGGGAACATCCAGAATCAGCAATCCATGCATCCACACCGATGGAATTAATATAGCTGGGCAAAGCCATCAACCTTCCACGATCCGTGTTTTTCGAATTGTTTTCATTGTCATCATTCGATTTCTCTGGGCACTTTGCAGCTTTATGTCCCCTTTTGTGACATTTATAACATTTAAAAAGGAAATTGCTGCTTTTCTTTTTCTTTGTATCCCCATTTCCACTTTTCGTTGATCCTCTGTTATTGTTCTGTTGTGCTGCATGCAGAGCCACCATGTTATTATCCGTACCAACTTTTATTCTTTCTTCATGGTTACGAATACGCTCTGTCAACATATCAAGCGATCTGGAATCGTCTGATTCAGTTTCCCAAACCGTTTTAACAGGTATATATTCAACAGGCAAAATATATAAAACTCGCCCCAGTAAAATGCATTCGTCAAGCTCTGCTTTCTTTTTCCTGTTTAGCTCGCTATTTATTTCGTAGGCATAACCAAAAAATTGTTCAAGCAATTTATCTAAACGTTGGCCCGTTCCCATGCCAAATGTTCTTCTCAACCGATCCCACATTTCTTTAGGGGTTTTACAGCCCAAAACATGACGCTTTATGGGTTGACTTAGTGCTCTTGTTATATATAGCTGGGCTCTTGCACAATCGGCTTCGTATTCATCGATAGCCAATTGTTCAGTGGTTAATTTTTCTACCCTCTCTGGTACTTTACGTGCACCATCCACGACGTCAAATAAACGAGTCGCACGAAACAACATGCACATGGATTCCTCCCAAACTTCCCAGTTCTCAGCTCCAAGAAGTTCATCGACACACGACAAGAGATCCGTTTTGTACGCCATTGTTTTTTTTTTTTACTTAAACACTCGTGTTTTTAATTTCTACGTTATTTCGTGTTACCTTATTTATTTCGGTTTCGCGCACTCTGGGCCCATAACCTGTTGAGTTGCGGTAATGTTTTTATTAAAACAACGAGCCGTTGATAGAAAATATATTGAAAAAATACTACTGAACTACAAACTATTACGAACTATTTTTAACAGAACAAAGAACAAGAGTGAAGCGTTCCCTTCGTGCTACCAACATAAAGAAATATTTAAATCTGTAGCTTTCGGACGAACAAGTAGCGACATCTATATTATTGTAATAATACTCAAAAATATTCAACAAACCCCTTAATCCCCACTCTAAAAAGCCTCATAAAACTTCATAAAAAAGAAAAAAGTATTCGTCCGATTATTAGCAATAATAACACTCCTACCAATAGAATATCGAAAATCATTCCCTTTTGACACTTTTCAAAGTTCATTCTCTTACAACATAAAAAATTCAACCGACCTCATTCATAAACTAAAGAATTTCAAACTCTCTCAAAAATGTAAACTAATTTCTTTCGATATTAAGAATCTATATACTAACGTACCCACGATCGCTTCCATTTCAATCATTAAATAATACCTGATTTCAGAACAACATTTCGCTTTTACCAAATGAAAGATGGTTTGCCCATGGGCTCTCCTATATCTGGAATTGTTGCCGACATCTATGTCAACAACTTCGAAAATGAACTGTTTTCTGAAAAATATAAATTATTTACCAATGATATTTTATTTTACGGCCACTACGTGAACGACATCTTCATTGTATACAATGGTAATCTAGCTAAATTTTCCGCTCTGAAAGTCATTTTCAATAACTTATGTAATCTCGAGTTTACCACTGAAATGGAGGTTAATAATAAACTTAAATTTTTAGATCTAATAATGTCTCGAAACTCAATAGAAAAGATTCTAGAGTTTGAAATTTTCAGAAAGCCTACCACTACAGACTCTATCATTTCTAAATTTTCATATAACTGTAACCAACACAAAGAAGCGAGTTTCAGATTTTTCTTTAACCATCTCAGTTCCATACCTCACAACGAAGATAATTATTTTCACGAACTTAGAAAGATATTGAAGATTGGCCTAAATAACGATTTTAATATAAAGGACTTACAACGAATATACAATAAAGTACACGCTTCACGCTTGAACAACCTTATCTATCCTCACTGTAAGAAGAAATATAGATTTATTTCCCTTCCCTACAACCCTTCACTCCAATACAAATTTAAACAAAATCTAGATAATTTTGGCATTATCCACAAATAATAAACTTGGTCAAATCCTGATAAATAACAAACACAAATTTAAAAAGGGGGAAAAAAGTGGTGTTTATAAGATAGAATGTGGTGATTGTAATAAAGTATATATGTATAGGATAGACAGGTAGAAATGTCACCACCAGACTTAGGGAACATCTTACTAAAGATTCATGTGCCGTCTACAAACACATTCAAAATCAAAAACACAAAACTACTATAAAAAACTTGGAACTCTTAAAAAACATTAAGAAGTCAAAAGAGCTCGACCTTTATTCATCAATAATCAAGAACATCAAGAAATGTTTATTCATCAATATAATTAAGATGATATACTTCTTAATGACTTAACAGACTTCAACAATTGCAGATTTCTTAAAATGTTGTTTACATAATAATTTACTTTCCTGTTCACCTTTCCATGTTGCACTCTTGTCCTCTAAACATTCTTTTTTAACGTAATTAGAATTTGTTTTGTTATTTTATTGCTAATTCTATCCTACTCTTCTACAGGTTTCGGATAAATTTTTGACTTCCTTTATTTTATTATTATATTTTTTCAAAAAATTTACTACGAGAAAAACTTAATATTATTCACGTTTTAATAATTTTACACAATTTTTTTACAATTTCTTATACTCATACCCTTCATCATAAATTTATCCACAAATAAGTTTTTGGTGTTTTTCAACATTATTTTTATATTTTCATTGAGAACAATCTCATAAATGATTTTACAAGGACTCAATGTACTCTCGAAAACCCTCAACTTGATGCTCTTCGTTTGACGGTAAATGTTTCTTTATTTGTATACAAGGTATAAAATATTTTAAGATTTATAAGGATTCTTTGATCAATTAATTTAAATTCCACATATGTACAATTCTTAATTTAATTTGTATTTCGTTGTTTCTTGTAGTCGTGCATGATGAGGAGCGCTAGGCGTTCGAAATTGTCAATAGCACCGAATTTACAATAATAAATTTAATTTTTCATCGTTCTTTCAAGTTTATTTTCTTCAATACCTACCGGTAGATTCGAACATATACACATAAATCTAATAGGTCCCTTTACTCCTTCATTCGGTTGTTCTTTTGTACTAACAGCCATAGATCGCTTCACTAGATGGCCCGAAGCGTATCCAGTACCTGACACTACGACATCTACTATAGCCACAACATTACTAAACCAATATTTCTCAAGATTTGGTATACCACACACGACCAAGGAAGGCAATTCGAATCCCGATTACCTCGCCATTTCAATAGATTGTTAGGATTTGATCAGATCCACACTTCAGCTTTTCATCCCCAAAGTAATGGCATATTAGAAAGGTTCCATAGAACCCTTAAAACTGCCATTGCTGCCAGAGGAAACGGCTATAGGTGGAACAACGACCTCCCAATGATACTATTGGGTCTTAGATCGTCATTTAAAGAAGATCTATAGTCGAACCGTCGAATTTGTGCAGTGATAAATCACCGTGACAGGTAGGTAAATTTCTCACATCGAAGGTCGCCCTGTCCGGATTCGTCAAAGTAAGTGACCACACCCCTCCTGGGGGTAGCGTACTGAGCGCGTTACTGGGGACAAAAAAATAATAAAAGCTGCCGACGCACTGTGAACGGTATTCATAACTTCTTATCTGACTGTAAAGGAAGGTTTATTCTCGTATAGTGTAGCTGCGCCTTATAGACCCTGGCGGGAGTAGGCGGTTACATAACGAAAGAACCGACTACCCCTTTTTTTGTAAGTACCTGTCACGGTGATTTACCACTGCACAAATTCGACGGCTCGACTATAGATCGGTTTTTTTTCGACCGTCCATTTAGACCGTCTTTAAAGCAAGAAATTATTTTGTTTTTGCAATAAAACAATAAAATTTACAACCACTTGGAAATGATGGATAGAAAAACTTAATGAGCTCAATCGTAGCTTACAGGGGAAATTTAAATTATTTCGCAGATAACGAATAAAGTAATTGCTTTTGAAGATCTATTACGAAGAAACACTGAACCAAGTGTCACGAAATTTTCCAACAGTAATAGAAGCTAAACAAGATACGTACATATATTTCTCAAAAAAACTACATGATATTTTCAAATTACTTAGATGCCTTGTCCAATGAGTTTAAGAGCAGGTTTCCGGATTTAACGGCGTGAAAAATGGCGACTTGTGCGTAACTCGTGTGAAGATCGGGGCGATAAAACGTTGATTTTTCAATAGTAATTGTGTTTGAAAATAGTGTATGTGACTTTCAAGCGTTTCCTCTAACCTTTTTCTATTGCACAGTAAAAAATGGACGTTACAATACATTATACTACATTAAACTACAAGATTGACTTATGATATAATACATGAATTAACAACGTAATTTTTAAAATCCAGTTAATACCAAGTAAAATTACAGGAAATTAGTAAATTTACAAAATATAAAATTTTTTAAATATGAATTACACAAAGCAATGTAAACTATAGGAATAACCTGTAAATAAATGGAATATCAAGTAAAACCATGTAAACGTATTTAATAAATAGGGAAATCATGTAATATTGTTTAAAATCACTATTACGAACATGTAAAATGCGTGATTCCCCCACCATCACTTTCTGCGTACGGTTATCCGAATAGCGTTGCTACTACGCACAACGCGTTAACATCATTGTGCCGAGTACAGTTTAATAACGTATCAATCTTCGAACGTTATACGCGCTCTTATAATCTAGTGTTTGGTTGTTTAGTGCTCTTTAGTACGAAAGCACATCAACATCGTAGCGGGAAGATAACGTCTTTTTATCTCGAAAAACGGTAAGTTATCTATTTTTTTCTTTATTGTAGGCTTGTTTCAAAAAGCAAAAAACGATGATAGAATCAAATGTATGACAACCGTCCCATGTGATCAATCAAACTACTTATAATGGATTTTATAACCGTTCTTTAAGGGTTTTGACTCTTGTTTGGTACAACGTTTTTTGGGACCTTAAAGGTACGGTCTGCCTTACGCGATTAAAACGCGATTTCTAAACGCGTTACGACTTGTCGCTCGAAATAGACCTCATACACTGAAAAACATATGGTGAACTTGGTCGTTTAGTCGCAGTGTTTAAACGCACCGTCTACTCGCATAAGGCAGACTGTACCTTTACGTCGCGTCTAATTACGTCATAATTGCGTGACATCATCGACAATAAAAAAATTCATTGCAGTATTTTTTTTGTAGCTGTGGTTATTTTTGTTTATTTCTGAAGAGTCTCACGTACTTATCAGGTAAGAAGGCAAAAATGTTTAAGTGTAATTTATGCAGTAGTTCATTATCTACTATTCGCAAATACAATTTACATCAATATTTCCACCGAAGACAAGGTCGAAATTTTCATTGTATAATGGAAGGTTGCCGCATGGTATTTCGACGCTATGAGGGCTTTTACTCTCATATTCATCGTGAACATACCGTTATAAATAATAATGCTCAAAATGTGACTTTTACTTGTACATTAAAAACTTGTGATTTCAATGCAAACTCAAAAAAAGATTTCAAAAAACATTTTTATCACCATTTAAAAGAAGGTAAAACCTTTCAATGCCCTTTTAAGTGTGAATCTAAAACTGTCTTCAACAAAAAAAGTACTTTATGTGTCCACTTTTGTAGAAACCATTCAGATTTTCAATTAAACAATCACGAAAGTAGAAAAAAAGTT